GTATCCAATAAAAATATTAATAAAAAATTTATTTTTGGTGTGATTTTTTTCAATTTGACATACTATATTGAAGTGAACATTTTTTATTGCCTTGAAATCTGAATGAATAATATTTAAAATAAAATGAGTGACCTACGTGGACCTACATCTTTCATATGGCAATAATCCGCCTCAAAATGCAATTCATTGGAACTGCAGTCAGTGAAATACCGAATATAAAGGGTGCAAAATGGTAGAGCGAATTGGACATTTAGGAAAAAAGAAAGAAATTCTTCCTAAACTTTCAAGATGTCTTAAATCGCTTTTGCAGGTCATGATATATGACCCCCGGATAAGGGTACAACCCTATTTCAAGTATTGTTTACATTTTAACCACATTTTTCTCACACTCATTTTAATTTGATAAGAAACCATCCTCGCAAAATATGATCATGTTTTGGTATAACCATCATATAATTTAAGCCATGTTCGGGGTCTTCGACATTTTTTTCATCTTTAGGCCTTTATTTGGCATCTTTGTTTCTAAGGGTGTAAAAAACCTCTTCTCATAATATTTTCAATTTTCGGAGTAGAGTCCATCTTGGTCTTGACCACATTCATCAATTGATTTGGCTAAAAAATTGTATTTAGGCAACTCTGGGGTAGAGAATCGTCCCTCAGATAATTGTCCACATAGGCATTTATTCGAGTATAGTTCTCACATTAGTGTACCCACAAATCCGCTTTCCTAACCAATGTTTGGTCAGAAAAGAAAATTTGATATACTATTGAATTTGAAACTCCCAAGAGAATATTGGTTGGGAACGTAGATGTGGGATTAACATCTACATGCCATAAACTCCGAAATATCAAATTGTGGCAGAAACATGAAAAAATCACGAATATTAATTTTTTTGTTCGTTATTGAATTATACTATGATGAAAAATATGGACTTTATGGGTTCTCCAACTCACAATTTAAATGACAAAAATAAATTAATTAATATTTCACGGTAATGGGTGTAAAAAAGCAATTATCTTTGACTATTTTGAAATCATTCCGCCCTCAATTATGAGGTGGACAAAACTAAATACCACGCAGCACGGTATTCTTAACATTGGAAATTCAATACCAAAAATTTAGCTGAGTTTTCACATGGGGCTATTATAGAAGTTCTATATCATACAGGTTTTTAACACTCAATTATAGCCTTAGGCTGAAAAATAAGATCAGGCTATTCAAAATATCTAAAACCGACGGTAGATTATTATCTATTATAATTTTTCCCATGAATGTTTATTTCTATTTAGAAATTACTAGGGAGTTATTTTACTTATAATAAAAATTGTGCCGCTTTCATAATTCTAGAATGCTTAAAAAAATATGCATTAAAGACTAAAAGTAGGGGCCGGCAACGCGGACCGGGCCAGCTAGTGTTAATATAAAAACCACAATTACAGAAACGGATAACAAATAAAAATTTGAAAAATCCAAAATTTTGACTTCAAAATTCTATTCCATGGACTTTTCCGAAAATTTGCACATTGCCTTAGCGGTTTAAATCAGTTAACATTGGTAACTATGTTGTTATGATATCGTAACAACAGAGGTATTTTCACAGGGTTACCATATCTTGACTCTGTCTTGTCCTATCTTTACACTTCTATGTCTTTGTATCTAGATAGTATAGACACAAACCATTTGCACGGTCTTTACCATTTAGGCCTTTGATAAATTTTAAACACTTGGGCACAGCAAAACGCATTGGGCAAAACTATTATTATTCAAAACAATACGGCCCGGCCGAACTTTTTATACCCTTCACCATTTAGAAGAAATTAGAAAAATTTCAACAAAAAAAATCTGTAAAAAAAATACCGCTCGGGGTATATGATATCGTGGACCTATATAGATAATTCTCCTACAGGGGATAAAGTACTCACAAGGAACTCGTTATGTGGATTTTCAGACAACTCCATTGCAAAATGTGGCTAACATCATCAAAATACTGAATATCGGGAGGTAATGTTATATGGGGCCTATACGATATCGTGGGTCGATATAGCCCATCTTCGAACTTGACCAGCCTGCAGAGAAAAGACAGATCTGTGCAAAATTTTAGCTTTCTATCTTAATTCGTTTTTACTCTAGCTCGATTACGACAGACGTACGGACGGACAGTGCTAAATTGTTGGGTCTAAAATTATTATTTTGATGAGCTACGTACGGAATGACAAACATAATATAGCCTCCATACTATGTATGGTGGAGGGCATAAAAACTGTATATATGTTTTGAGCATGCCTACATAAGGTTGGCCAGTAAGCCCATCTGACAGCCAAGTTTGCCGTCAAAAGACATATTGTGATTTGAAAATAAAAGAGAGTCATATCACCATAATGCAAAAACTACTAAGTTTATTGTCAGAATCTTGTCAATAGTAGTCTTCTTGGCCGACCTTATGTAGGCCATGTTTTTCACATTACAAGACTACCAATACAAACAATTGTATTTTATGCAACTTTAATATGTTTTAATATAATTAATTGTAATATTCGTGGAAGTTGCGGATGTATTTTTTGTTAAATATCCACTAAGAATGGGTTGAAGTAAACGAGGGTTTTCATTGTTTTCTCTCGATTTTTGACTAAATCACACGTTTCTCGTTTTTCCAGTTAAAGTGACGTACGTACGGACAAACTTTTTAAAATTCTATCTGCGGCATTTTCGCTCTCATTTTGGAGCTCGTTGTTACACCCACTTTAAAAGGTGTTTTTGAGTTGTAGTTCAATTTGCGACTCGTAATTTCTAAAAGAGAGATTTAAAAACTGTCCAATATGAATGATATTCAATCGAAGCTAAAATCAACAATAAAAAATTCAACTTTTCTCATTACTGCTGAAACAAAATTTCAAACATAGTGGAATAATGACATTACCATACTCTTACGTCAAAAAGAGGCCGCAGAACAGAAATTTGATAGATACAAAACCACTGAAAATGCCCTAAGTGCAATCAACGCTATATCTAAATTCAAAAAAGCCGTAAAATGTGCCAAAAATCGCGACAAACGTCGTAAACTGTCAGATTTAAGCCAATTATCTAATTCAAAATCGCTTTTCCGTTATGTAAAGAGCTGTAAATCGGTTTTCGAACCCCAATTTGCTTCTAAATGGAACACTGACAACAACGAAGCCTTCTTACGTCATTTGAGTGAACAGGTTCCCAACAACAGACAAACTATATCCATTTCAATTTATAACAATCAATCTGCAAATTTCTCCATGGAAGAACTAGACAATGTTCTACAGCAAAAAACTAAACCATCTGCAGCTGGTCTGGATGGAATCACTTATGAAATGGTTAATAAACTATCCCAAGATAGTAAGCAGCACCTTTTGAACTCTTTTAATAATCAATGGAAAAACTGTGAGTTTTTTGAAGAATGTAGGAGAATAAAAATTGTTCCCATACCGAAAAAAGGAAAAAAATTAGACATCTGCACAAATTTTCGGCCAATTGCTTTAATATCTGTACTGGCAAAGATTTTAAACCTCATGGTCAAACAAAGGCTCAATGATTTTCTAGATTAACATAATACTCTTCCACCTAGATCTTATGCATACCGCAAACATGTGTCAACTTCAACATGCATTCATGACATACTACACACAATAAACAACTCCAAAGAAAAAAATGACAAGGTGATTGTTCTCTCGATGGATGTATCGAAAGCCTATGAGTGTGTCGATATAAATTACCTGAAGATGATTCTAATAGAAATAAACATTCCACTCCAAATAAGATTATGGATAATCAATTTTCTCTGCAAAAGGACTCTTTGTATGGGAAACTCCACCCTAAATATATACAATGGGATCCCTCAAGGCAGTTGTTTAAGCCCAACACTATTCAACCTATACGCAATAGGCCTCCATGGTTTAGCTGATGAAAACACAAACATTTTCCAATATGCGGATGATTTTCTTTTTCTTTTGGCAAGCCATGACTTTGATAGTGCCAACAATATTTTACAAATCAAAACCAATAACATGGTATCCTTATTAAAAAAACTAAACCTTGACGTCAATGTTGAGAAAACTTCAGTAATGTACGTGGCTAAAGGAGGTCGGAGAAATCCCAACATTTTACTAAATGGAGTCCAAGTAAATGTTGTTAAGTCCATCAAATTTTTAGGGAGACATATTAAAAACAGTCTATCACTCAAGGAGCACTACGAAGAGGTGATGATATCCTGCAGAAATACTGTTAATGCTTTAAAAATGGTCACGGGTCCAAAAAGTGGAATTCATCCCGCAAAAGCTATAAACCTGTCAAAATCACTTATCTTTTCAAAGACCGAATATGCAATCTCATCGATGGCTCACAGACCAATGTATATAAACAAGAAGCTAACAAGCTTTCAAAATCAGTTATTAAGAAAAAATTTGGGACTGGTGCCTCCACTCCAAATGGTATACGCTCTTGCTGGTATGCTACCAACAGATTTAAGAGCTCAACATTTGGCGGCTAAAGAATTGATAAGACTTAACATATACAACTCTTCTCTGTATGAATACTTCACCTCAAATACCTCAAGAAAAACTAGTCTTGGATATGTCTATACAAAGTTTCGCACAATTTTTGAAAATCTCAAAATTGGTTACAATCAACATCCGACCAACAAGGTAGATTTCATGCTGGATATATTTAATACTACCAAAAACAATACACCAACAGAATATTTCAAAGCACACTACTACGAATTAATTAACGACTTCAGATCCGAAGGCGTTTCTATTTGGGCGACCGATGCTGCTGTTTTTAACAACAACACAGGCTGCGCTGTCTGCAATATATCTGCTAATCAAAATTTTGTTTTCAGAATTAATGAAAAACTTTCTTCTCTTACTGGTGAACTATGTGCAATTGAAAAGGCAATTGATTTGATGGTCGAAGACGGTTATTTACAGACAGCAAAAACGCTTGTCTTCTGCTTAAAAACAACACATCTCACAATTTCACTGTGTACAATATTCTAAACAAAATAGTTAATTCGCATTTAAATAAAATCTCGTTTGTTTGGACACCTTCCCATGTCGGTATACCAATCAATGAAACAGCCGATTATTTTGCGAAGCATGCAGCAAATGTTGGTTCACCAATCAACTTCTGTCTGTCGGTCACAGATGCGTCGAAACGCATTGAGTCACTCCTGTGGAATGAGTTTATAGAAAATTACAAGGACATCTCACGGACTAAAGGAACTTACTTCTACCAATTCTTCCCGGCGCCTGCTAAACAGCCCTGGTTCTTTTCATCAAACATGAAACCTGAAAACATAAAGATTGTTAATCGATTGCTCACTGGTCATACTTACACCAAAAATATTTTATATTTCCACAGGATTGGAATTGCTGACTCAAATCTTTGTGAAACCTGCAACGAAATTGAAGATGAAAAACACATAATTTTTTTCTGCAAAAAGCATCAAAATCATAGGAATGACTTTGATTTGTTCAAGAAATTTAATAACTTACCAGAAATCCTGATGTCCAAAAACCAACAAAATATAGATGAATTAATCAACTTTATTGCACTTTGCAAAATTGAAGTTTGATTTTTATTTGTAAATAATCATCATATTTGCTTACAGTTCTTTATTTTTTCCCTTAGTTTTGATTTTTTTTTTCTTGTTTTGATTTCTTATGTATTCCATTCATATCACTACATTCTGTAAACACACATATACTGTAAACAAAAAGAAAACGAAAATAAAAGAGTACTGATACTTTTCAAGTAACCAATAACCGGTCATGGTGAATGGGCACGAAAGTGTTCTAACCACCAACATACTTGACGACGTAGAAGTACAAAAAAAAAAAAAAAAAAAAAAAAAACTGTATTTCTTTCATCCCAAAAACAGTGTGTAACGCTCCATCCACGGTTCCTGATGGATCGTATTCAATTCGGTTCACATCGATTCAGATTTTCATGGTGGACACTGAAATCAGATGCGCATCAGTCAGGATGCTCATACCATTTTTGAAGATAATTTTTGTCCTTATCTATTTCAATTTTTTACTTAAATAATCTCTTTAACAGAACAGTGTGGCTTGTTTGTTCGGGATACCGTAGTATTTTGTTTTTGCAAAATGGTCTGGCTTTATCCCTTTATTGTTGTTTTTATAAAAACAACGTTTGTTTATTAGTGGAGAACGATGGTAATGTTTACCAGGGGGTAAGGCAGGGAATACCTAGGTTTCGGAAAGAGCCACCAATCCTCATCAGTTCCCTTGTTTTTGCCTGGGATATTCTCCCCAGAAGTTATTTTAAAAATAACTTCTATGACAAAAAACATTTTTTACCCAAGTGACGAGATCGTAAGCTCAATAGAAGAGGAACCAAAGAATTAAATAAAACTAAAATTCTCTTGGAAAGTCTTCTAAATCTTACAATCGCACTTATAAACATTTACATCTTTCTCCACTTGTTATGCTTTCGTTCAGCCTGAACGAAGTAGCATAACCATGTAAGTTGGTTTTGTCTGTTACAACAAAAACCCCTTCGTCGACCGTGCCTTGTCTATTAATAGAACAGTGTGGCTTGTTTGTTCGGGATACCGTAGTATTTTGTTTTTGCAAAATGGTCTGGCTTTATCCCTTTATTGTTGTTTTTATAAAAACAACGTTTGTTTATTAGTGATGAGGATTGGTGGCTCTTTCCGAAACCTAGGTATTCCCTGCCTTACCCCCTGGTAAACATTACCATCGTTCTCCACTAATAAACAAACGTTGTTTTTATAAAAACAACAATAAAGGGATAAAGCCAGACCATTTTGCAAAAACAAAATACTACGGTATCCCGAACAAACAAGCCACACTGTTCTATTAATAGACAAGGCACGGTCGACGAAGGGGTTTTTGTTGTAACAGACAAAACCAACTTACATGGTTATGCTACTTCGTTCAGGCTGAACGAAAGCATAACAAGTGGAGAAAGATGTAAATGTTTATAAGTGCGATTGTAAGATTTAGAAGACTTTCCAAGAGAATTTTAGTTTTATTTAATTCTTTGGTTCCTCTTCTATTGAGCTTACGATCTCGTCACTTGGGTAAAAAATGTTTTTTGTTAAGTTATTTTTAAATAACTTCTGGGGAGAATATCCCAGGCAAAAACAAGGGAACTGATGAGGATTGGTGGCTCTTTCCGAAACCTAGGTATTCCCTGCCTTACCCCCTGGTAAACATTACCATCGTTCTCCACTAATAAACAAACGTTGTTTTTATAAAAACAACAATAAAGGGATAAAGCCAGACCATTTTGCAAAAACAAAATAATCTCTTTAACATTAAAAGTCAGATAGATTATATTTGAAAACAACATTCTGTGGATTTAGTATACCCCCAGCCAACCAAGGGTTTATATCATTTGATATAGCATAAAAGTTGGCAGAAAAAAACCGTTTCAGGACATTTAAATTCGGGCTAGAGGTGTCCGTCTGTCTGTGGCATAGTGAAGAAGTAAATACTGAAGGACCTCCGCCACAAAGAGTCAAAATTTTAAAACACCCGAAACCAGTCAGTGAATTTCTTGAAACTAAGTATATTTCACTTTTTCACTAAATCGGAGTTCTGATGTCAATATGGAATTTTTCGACTTCGAAATAGTTATGAGTCTCATAAAATTCAAATAAAATTATTCGATGTTTCTGCCAACGTCACACTTTCACCTCCATTAGATCCAGTGTGAATGTGGAATTCATCAGCACATTCCCTCTGGAAACCCTTAACAATAAACACTCATTTTTCAGTTGTTGGTTGGGCATGTATATCTGAACAAACATCAGTATTTATATCCTTCTAAGGATGTATTTAAAACACCCTATATCTTTAACGTCCAGTGGGTTAATTCTCAATAGTATAAACGCGTTATTGAGGTACCTTAGGATTGAGATACGGATTAGATATGGTTTTTTTTAAACATAATACCAAGCATTGTTGATGAAGCACGAAATAACGCACTACTAACGTAACATGAAAACTTGGTTGTCACTCAAACTGCGTGTACGATATGGATTAAGAATAAATTGTTGATGCAGAACATAATATAATTACATTGTGCAACACAAAAAACAAACAACAGAAAAATCTAGTAAATTATAAAATTAGCCTAATTTGGCCGCGCCGAACCTCTAATGCACTCCATAATTAGGTAAAGAAAAACATTTTATACAAAAGTATCTGGATTCAGTCGTGTTCCATTTGTGTTACAAACTCCAGTAAGATCGGTAGAAGAATGCAGTTAGAATTTCAAAACAAAAATATAGTGGTTGGAGCCGTTATATGGGGTCCATAAAGACGGCAGCCTATATAAACAATGTATTGCAAATCTTAAATAGGAAATTGGACATAATTTCATGGAAAAATGTGACTAGAGTTATCAAAATACCGAATATCGGTCTATATATAACATACCAGACCGTTGTACAGAAACCGTTGGCCAACAGGACAATGTTTTAGCACAAGTTGTAGAACCCATAATAAGGTACAGATAAGGTACAAATACCAAATTTCACACAGATCTATTAGAACATGTGGCTTAAATCGTCAAACTACCGAACATCCGAAGGTACCGTTATATGTGCGCTATAGGAAAACGTAGACCTAGATATTGAATGTTCTGCCACCGGAACTAGAACCCATTACAAATTACAAATACCAATTTTTAGACAAATTGCTGGAAAAATGTGGCTAAAACCATTAATATACTGAATATCAGGAGCAACCATTATATGGGGGCTATCTCACAAGGTGGGCCGGTATATCTCATATATCTATATATATATATATATATACAATATATATATTGTATGGGGTCCGTGACGAATATTTATTTTATATATTTATATTTCACTTTTACATGGTAGGTGTCTTCGGCAATAGGATAGTTAATGTCAAAACAAAGACGGCATGGTCCTTCTTCCAAAGAAGACTCAAAAACTGCGTTTAAATCGGATCATAGCAGCAGTGGGGTAAGACAAAGCTTCAAAATATCGATAATCGGGAGATACCTAATGTAGAGGCTGAAAAACAAATCTACTTAAGTTTACATTTCTGTGCTGAAAAGTTGTAGAATAATCTTTATGTATATAAGAAAGTTGTGCTAGTTACTACGCTTATAACTCAAGAACCGCTGATCTGATTAACGATTCAGACAAATTCTCCCTTGGCAGAAAAGGATATAATCCAAAAAATAAAAATGTGAAATTTAAAATTTTTCGGTTTGACTTTTGGTATGTACATTGTGCATGTTTATTTTGCATTATTTTTATACCCTACACCACATAGTGGTAATTATACCCTACACCACATAGTGGTAAGGGTATTATGTCTTTGTGCATTTGTTTGTAACAAGGAGAAGGAAACGAGATAGACCCATAGTTACCTTTGAGAACCTTCATAGAATCACTTTCTGAGTCGATTTATGCATGTCAGTCCGTCTGTCCGTCCGTCCGTCTGTCCATGTATTCTTGTGAACAAAATGCAGGTCGCATTCATTGTCCGATTGAGATGAAATCCACCAAATGTCCACTATCAGTCCAAATTACCTGAATTTTGGCACACCCAACCGAGTTCGGCCTAGAAGCAAGTATATCAAATTTGGAGAAAATTGGTTCAGATATAGCTATAGCTCCCATATATATCTTTCATCCGATTTGATCTTTAAGTCCCTCACATTCCTACTATGTACTCCACAACCGTGATATTTGGTACCAGGTATTAGATGCAGCACAGAAATAGCTGTTTTAAATTTTATCGAAATCGGTTCAGATTTGGATATAGCTCCCATATATATCTTTATCCGATTTCGGGTTAATTGACCACCAAATGGCCAATATCAGCCCAAATGGCCCGAATTTTGGCACATGTGACCGAGATTAGCCTTAAAACAAATGCAACAAATTTGGAGAAAATCGGTTCAGAAACAGCTATAGCTCCCATATATATGTTTTATCCGATTTGGTGTTTAAGCCTCTCACATTCGTAATATGCACTCCACAAGAATGATATTTGGTACCAGATATAAGATACAGCCCAGAAATAGCTGTTTGTAATTTTATCGAAATCGCTGTATAAACCTTTACGTATAAACCTTTTTACGAGAGCTCTACTAAATATGCATAGTGGTGTAGGGTATCATATAGTCGGCCCCGCCCGACTTTTGAGCTTTCCTTACTGGTTTCATATTGACTTACTATTTTCGAATTTAAATTTGTAGTGTGTTTTTATTTATTTATTTATTTATTTTTTTTTTTTGGAATTCTAATTGGTGTGTAGAGTTTTTTTTGGATAGTATAAAGCGACAACGGACAGAACTGTTATAAATTTTATGTATTTACTAGCTGGCCCAGTCTGCGTTGCCGGCCCGTAGTTTTAGTCTTTAATGCATAGTTTTTAAGGCATAATAATTAACAATTCTGGCTTACATAAGTGGCACAATTTTTAGTATATATTATGACTCGATTAAATAGAAATAATTACTAAAACTAAAA